ACACACACACACACACACACACACACACACACACACACACACACACACATATATATACACACATAATATATAATATAGGTCTCTCTCTCTTTCTCACTATGACTCTATTCTAGGAGACAAAACTCCATAATTTCTTCTCTCAGTGCAAATGGGGGTGGGGTGAGGGGCCTGTCTCCCTGGCACCAGCCTCCTGGGAGTCCAGAGAGGACCTGGGGTGGGTAGGGTAGGGATGGGGTGATGGGGCAACAGGACCACTGCGGAACCTGCCCTGCCCCCACCCGGACAGGGTCCACGTGGAGTACGGAGGATTTGGCTGCCACCACTGGGACCAGGCAGTTACCTGGGAACAGAGAGGAAGACCCACGTGAGGAGCCTGCCACCCCGTGGCCACCCCGTAAAGTTCCTGCCTGCCCTGCCCCAGCCCACCCTCTGCCCCCAGCCCCACCACTCACGGGGAGCCCGGGGACGCCGGCCCTCCTGGGGCAGAGCCATTGGGCATCGGAAGTGGCTCGAGGGCCAGGGCACTGTTGGGGGAGGGGGACATGGGGAGGTCAGTGCCCCCTATGTAACATCAGCTGCCCTGTGAGGCTGCACCATGCTTACCTCTGGCTTCGGGGGAGACCCAAGGACTCTGGGCTCTTCACTCCCTCCGTGGTCTGGGGGGGCTGGTGGGCCCTGGGGGCCGGGACAGAGGTAGCAGGGTCTCTGGTTGCACTGTGGGGGGACCCGTGGGGTTACTGTCACTGACACCCTCCTGGGCACTCTCATCGCTCAGCCCCCTGCTTGTGTAAGCAGGGAAGGAGTGCAGGGCTCAGAGGCGTCCCTCACATCCGAAGACCCCTGGGAGCCGCCCACCGGCAGGAGCAGCTCACGGTTAGCGGGACACGAGCTCTGCACACTCCAGCCCCCTTCTGATCCTACTGGGCCTTCCCACCCCAGGGCTGAGTGCGGGACCCTGGGATCCAGGATCCTCCCTTGTGGCCATGTGTGGGCACAGGCACAGCCCTAGACCTTCAGCTTCCCAAAGCTCTGAGGCAGTGGCACACACCTGGGGGGAGGAGGGTCCTGCAAGGGCCACGTGGATTAGCTCCAGGGCAGGGACAGCCCAGGGACCAGGCTCTACCCACCTCCCCAGATTCTCCCCTTCTTGGCCCCCTAGCGGCTGCTCCCTAGCCAGTTACCTGTCCAAGGAGCTGGGGGCGGAGTGCGTCCCTCTGAGGGTGGCCTGGAGGTCCCCAACACTGACCAAGGCGTGGCAGGGGGCTGTGCGGAGTAGAGTGGCCCAGAGGTGTGAGACTCGGCGAGCTTAACACCAGCCTCGCTCCTCTGAACCAGGTGTGGACAAGGCCAGGGGACAGCTGTGTATGGGAGGGCTGAGGGTGAGGTGGGCAGGATGGGGAGTGGGTAGAGAGCGGCTCACCCGAGGGCTCTGCTACTTTGCTGCCGTCTGTGGCTTCCTGAGGTGCTGAGGAAGGGATGGGATCCTGAGACCTAGGAGGCAAGAGAAGGAGCCTAAGGCGCAGCCCCCACCCCCCGCCACCTGCAGCTGGGGTCGGCGCTGGAGCTTAAGGCAACCAGGCCCTGGGCACCCACCACTAGGCCTCACCTGAGCTGCAGGGTGCTGGGGGCTGCAGGGCCAGCTGGGCTTGGGGCAGGGAGGTCCAGGGGCCCGCTGTGGGGCTCCTGTGGGGCAGGGGGCCCAGAGTGAGGTTCCTTCTCCCTGCAGGCTTGGGGGCCGGTTGGGGCATCCACAGGCACTGGGTCAAAGGTAGCTGTCCAGCTGGGGCCTGGAGAGGGAGAGCAGCGCAGGGGTGAGCACAGAGGCAGACAGCCGGAGGCACCTGACCACGCCCGCCCCGCGCATGCACCCACCCGGAGGCTGGGGGCCGGGGCTGGGATGACAGGTGGGCCCAGCCCTGCCACGGGCCACCCGCCGGTCACCATCCTCGTCGTCCTCATCGTCCTCGTCGTCCTCATCGTCCTCGCTGTCTGTGCTGCCTCCGCTCCTGCCCCAGGGACACCCTGTCAGTCAGCCACTGTGCTGGGCACCCTTCTGACCCCACCGAGGCCAGCCCCAGGCAAACGATGGGAAGGAATCGAAGGGGTGGAGAGGAGAGGGCAGCGGGGAAGAGGCCCAGAGAAAGAGCCCATGTCCCATGGTGGTGGGAAGGCAAGTGGGAACTTGAGCGCCCTCTGGAAAGAGCGTGGCCAGCAGCACAGGGGCGGAAAAGCCCTGCCCAGCCCTC